CACTAATATAATTTGAAACATACCTCACAACAACAGTAATAAAAAAAAATCAGCAGCAACAAAAACATAACAGAGTTAAAAAATATAAAATAATGTTTAATACTTTAAGTGAAATATTGTTAAAATCTATTTTATTATTATTTTGATTGAGAGTGAAAAAACAAATGGAATGAGAAGGTTAAAAAAGATCAATTTAGTTTTCAAAATCAAGGTTAATGCTATTTATTACTATTTACTTTCTCACATAATAAATATACTAAAAAGAGGCATTGAATAGTAAATTTTAATCATTATTAAAGTGTGTCACAAGACACACATTAGAAAAATCATTTTTATTAATTTTATAAAGATCTCATATCAAAATTTGTTTTAGTCTAAGAATAATTGAATCATCATGTCTATAACAAATGGCGACTTTGTATGTATTTGAATTATAATTAAAAAATTAAGTTAAGTTGAATTTAACATTCTAAACAAACTTTTAATAAAAAGTAACACTTTTCTAACTTTTAATTCAATTGAGGTTTGCTTGGAAATACTAGAGTCGGCTTAGTGGTGGAGGGTTAGGTAATATGCATAAAGTTTTAGTTTTGAATTTTAGTGTCATCACTGTAATTTTGATAGATAAAAAATTGATATTTGTTTATAATTTACACTCAATGGAATGTAAAAAAAAAAAAATTTAAACATATTAAAATATGTTCAAGGTTAGTTAATTGAAGTTACAAATTTTAAATGTGTAACCAAAAATAGCTTGAAATCTAACAAAGCTGATTTTTTTTTATTTTTTATTTTTATATATAATCTTATGAATTAAACAACCAATAGATAAACAAAATATTTTATTATTGCAAAATCAATAATAATATTTCAAAATTAAAATTTTAAAAAATTATTTTTAGTAGAAAATAAAATTAGACGATATATATGACAAGAATGTTGTTTTTTTAGACAATATGTTTAAATAATTAGGCAAATATGGATAAAAAAAAACTAAATTATAATTTATGAGTTGAATATATAATTTTTAATGAGCAAATGAAAATAAAATAAAATTATAGTACCTAATTACTTATTTTAAAACCGTTACCTTAAACTATCAAATTATTGTAATAGAAAAAATATCAGCAATGTAGCGTTCATGTTAAAAAGAAGTTTGCGACAACAGAAAAATAAGAGTTTGTAGTTTGATTTCATAAAGAGGTCACAATCAAGAGAATGAAGAAAAAATCAATGAGATTAGAGATAATAAAAAAGAGAGAAAATCTAAAGCAACCCTTATTTATGAGGTTCAAACTAAGAGATATCGAAGGAAAATATATCATATTTTCCTTTATACATTTAGTATCACTCATTTATTTTTCTAAAATTATAGGTGAATTTTATTATAATTGTGGTAAATTTTGATGTAGAAATGAAAACATTATCTATTAATTGATTATAATTAATTTATTTTTATAATATTTTTTTATATAATTTAACTACGAAACTTTATATAATGTGAAGAACTTGTCACAATGAGTAATTCTCTTATAAGAATTCATAAAGAGAATTTTTTTTTGAAAGAACTAGACTTTTGAAAAAGAAAACTTAATGTTATTTCTCATAAAATGCTCAAAAGTCATTAGCTATATGAAAGGTAAAAATATATATATAATTGGGTTAGCTAATGATGCAAGCTAAACTAACCTCAGTTAAATGTAATCAAGGTTAGTTAACTTGTACTCAAGATAACCAACTCTAGTTACATAATTGGAATGTCACTATCATAATACTGAAAGAACCAATTGGAACTTGCCACATGACAATATATCAAACATGTGACTAAACAAAATCATGTGATTTGTTGGAGTCTTGAATGAGTCATGAGACATCTTATTCTCACTTTGATATTAACATGTAACCACTTGGCTTCCACCACAAGCTAGATGTCTAAACCAAGGATATGTAACAAAGAGATGCTCTCATGGGTCATTCATGGAACATGAGTTCATGAAATGCTCTCATGTACTAATTAAGTCCAACAAACTCAAATCTCCTTTTTAGTAGGGGTGTTCAAAAAAATTAAAAAAATTGAACTGAATTTAAAACTAGACTGAACCATTTTTAAAAAATTAGAACCAATTATAATAAAACTGAACCAGATTTAATTTTTTAAAATAAAACAAAAAAACTAAACCTATTTTTTTAAAGGTTTGGTTTATTAATATATTTAGATTTTCAGTATGGTTAGTTGCTCGCTCACTCTGTTGCTCGCTCGGACTCACCGCTTCTCCACAGTGTGGGAAACGATCTACAACACCCCAAAGTGATGATGTCCAGTGGAGCAAAAATAAAATAAAAAATAAGGAATTCCTTCAACAGTTCTAATTTTCATTTCTCGCATCTATTCCTGTCAATGTGATCTAAGACAAACGCTAACAAGTGGTACTCTTCAGCGATAACTCTCACTTTCACACAACGCAACCTATCTCGCGATTTCGTGCACATTTTTTCTGCTTCCGAGGCTCCGGCTCGGGATGGCTCGCCGCTGAACTGGACCGGTTCGGCTCAAAGAGATCTTCGTCTCAGAAACACGCATTGCGACGGTGATGAGAGGGAGCTGCTGGAACCGTCGGACAGAGCAGCGCTTCCCCCATCTCGCGATCTCCACCGTTAAATCAGTGAAGACCAAGATTCTGCTCTTGCGCCTCCTCCACCTCTTCCTTCATCCTTTGGTTTATAAGGTTTGGTTCAAAAACTGATTTTATTATAAAACTGGTTTTAAACTGATTATAAACTTGTTTATTAAAGTAATTCAATTTTAAACTGGTTTGTTAAAGTGGCTTACATAATTTATAAATCAATTTATTTTATTAAAATGGTGTGGTGCAGTTTGGTGTGATTTTTTTAAAAAACTAAATTATGCACACCCCTACTTTTAGTCACGCCTTTTTCAAAATACCAATTACACCATGAAAGTACTAATTACAAGAAATTAATTTTCTATATTACTAATTAACCTATAAATACAAGGTCAAAATTAAGAAAATATTTATAAAGAAAAGAAAGTTACTAAAATAACCTAAAGCTACTAAGTTGAATTTCACTTAGACCAACGAATGTTGGTAAAATTAGTTAATTTATTTAGTAACATTAAATTTGTTTACACTTTGTATTATTAACTAAAATTTCCTTTAAAATTATTGGAACTCATTATTTCATTATTTTCGCTCGAATATTTTTCACCTGTACTAGTCATCTTCTACAATTCTTTAAAAGAGAGAATGCATTTATCTTTATTAATTTATACTACTCCCTCCAAACTCAAACATAAACAAAAATAAAATCTCACGTATCATGGACCTATATATAAACAAATTTTAATTGCTTGTAAAATTTGTTTGGATACAAATTTATAAGTGTTTTTGAGAGATTTTTATTAGGAAATACTATTTTTTATATAGTAAAGAAGTTCCCAAAAATACTTTTAGTTTATATGCAAATAGACTCTTATTTTATTTAATGATATTATCTTTAAAGTATTTTTAATTTAATTAAGATTCTATTATTAATGACACTTCTGATATTCTTAATATAAAGTTCCAATGAAGGTACTGTAGGAAAGAAAATACTTCCTCTGGATCATAATTTTTATTTTTATTTATTTATTTATTATTATTATTATTTTATATTTTGGGCTTTCTTTTTTGTTCTAAAATGTTTGATGTTTTATAAATTTCAATATTAATGAACATTTTTTTTATATATGCTGATATTTAACTATTATTATTCCAACTCATGATTATTCTTGTTAAAGATATTAAATAAGAGTGTTTTAGACTTATATTAGCATTAAATATGTATTAAAGGGTGTGCAAAAATGTTAAACATAAAAAATTATATTCTACTCTAGAAAGAGAATAATTTTGTAATGAAATTATTAAATTTAAATGAAGTTAATTAATTTTCCTAATTAGTGCGTAAGTTAATTAAAAATTCATTAATTCAAGAGACAATTTGCATTTTTTATTGGTTTAAATATTTGTTTAGTTCTTATAATTTTGTTTACTTTTCTTTTTAATATCTATAGTTTTAAATAAATATTTGTAATCGTTATTATTAACTTTATTAATATTTTTAGTTTTTATGATTTAGATAGATATATATTTTAATTATTTTTAGTCTTTATTGTTAATTATTTTATAATGTTATCAGTAGAAGTTTCAATTTTATGAAAGTAAAAAATGTATTTAAGCAAAGTATCGAAAGTGAGGATAAAAAAGAAGCGTCGAATGACCTTATCTAAGATAACTTTAATAAAATAAATTCAATTTACAACATATAAAATTGAATTAATATTTTTATCATATCAACACAAAAAAGATAATATCAACGACAAAAATTAAAATGATTAAAAAATTGTAAATATAGAGAGAAAAAACCATCTTAAACTATAAAACTAAAAAATTTGGAAATGATAAATATAAAAATATAAAAATATATTTTAAATTATAGAAATTTGAAAGTAAAGTAAGTGAACGAGGATTAAAAAATATTTAATTTTTTTTATAAATGTGTGTTAAAATACATTTAGAAAACATATAAGTATATGATAAATTTAATATTTATCAATTACATTAATTTTTTTTAAAAAAATTACGATATTGATTGAGCATTATTAAAAAAAGGTTTAAAATAGAATATAAGTACGGAATACATGTAGGAACTACTAATTAATGGCAGCACTCATCAAAATCAAATCATAGCATAATAATATTCCAATCATAAAAAATAAAAATAAAAAAGGTTATAGTACCTTTTAATGCACGGATAATGATGACACAAAAGACAAGGCAAGCGCTAATCAATTTTCCGGAAGCTGACGTGTGGTGGCTAGCGTGGAATCGCACAGAGACGCAGTGGTCCGCGCGCGCAAAGTGAAGCATATGCTCACGCTACGCACACTTCTCATCCCTTCTATATGCCACTCGTGCTCATGTAAACAGAATCTTAGAGTACGCCACCACGTGACGCGACGACACTGACACACACGTTGCCACATCTCCTTAATTACCATAATTGCCCTTCACCAGATACGAATAAAAGTGTAAGTTGCAACTTACAAGCGTAGTTAGGAAATTCAGGCATGGCTGGAAATGGAATCCCCCAAGAGCAGCCACTGTTGGCGTCGTTTCAGGAGGAGGAGGAGGAGGAGCCGCGAGAAACGGCGTACGAGTCCTCCGAGAAGATCGTGGTGGTTGGAATCGACGAGTCCGATAGCGAGGAGAATTGGGGCCGAGTGCCGCCCTTTTCGTGGAAGAAGCTATGGCTCTTTACTGGGCCGGGCTTTTTGATGAGCATAGCGTTTCTGGACCCGGGGAACATCGAGGGGGACCTGCAGGCCGGTGCCATTGCTGGCTACTCCCTGCTCTGGCTTCTCTTGTGGGCCACAGCCATGGGCCTCTTGATCCAGCTCCTGTCCGCGCGCCTCGGCGTCGCCACCGGGAAGCACTTGGCCGAGCTCTGCCGGGAGGAGTACCCCGCGTGGGCCAGGATTGTGCTTTGGGTCATGGCTGAACTCGCGCTCATTGGCTCCGATATTCAGGAGGTTATTGGGAGCGCTATTGCTATCAGAATTCTCAGTAATGGGGTTGTGCCCCTTTGGGCTGGGGTTGTCATTACGGCTCTTGATTGGTAATTCAACCTAACCATCTTCTAACTTTTTCTGCTTTTACTTCTTATTGGGGTTCGTTTTATTCTTCTCCTCTTCATCTTACTGTAATTTCGACATTACAAATCATATCAACACGTCTTCTAATTTAGTCTTATAAGTAGTGGATGTGACTTGTGAGACTTTAGTCTTTCCTAATAATTTGTTATTAATTACAAACTTTTTCACTCTTTATTCGATGATTTTCGCTGATGATATAGTTTTTAATGAATTTTAGCGCATTAGAGAGTGTTGCTCCCCGTTTTAAATTGCATTAAGTGTAAGGTTTTGTTTATGTTTAGGGACTTGCAACATTTTAAATTGCGAGATCTGTTCATATTCCTTCCTTGATTAAGCTCTAAGAGATTTTGGTAGGTTAGGACTGGCCCCAGAAGATTAATGGTATGTTGTTTTATCGCTGGAGTGGAACTAAAGTGTTTGCTGTTTAAGTTCAAAACGGAATTTTTTTTATTAAAAGTAACTGAAAGGAGCATTTATTTTTAATTGTTTTACTATATCTGGTAATCCCAAATTAAACATGGTTGCTTGTTTATTTTGTTGCCTTGTTACAGTTTTATTTTTCTCTTTCTTGAGAACTATGGTGTGAGGTCATTGGAAGCTTTTTTTGCTGTTCTCATTGGTGTAATGGCAATCTCGTTTGCATGGATGTTTGGCGAAGCGAAGCCCAGTGGCAAGGAACTTCTTCTTGGTAAGGAGTTTGTCTTATTAGTCCTTATAACTTAATTGTTAGGTCCCTTTTGTTTTGAATCTGATGCATTTTGTCTTTGTAGGCATTTTGGTTCCAAAACTCAGCTCCAGAACTATACAGCAGGCTGTTGGAGTTGTGGGGTGCCTTATTATGCCCCACAATGTGTTCTTGCACTCTGCTCTTGTTCAGTCAAGGCAGGTTGATCGCAACAAGAAAGGCCGGGTTCAAGAAGCTCTTAACTATTACTCTATAGAGTCCACCCTTGCCCTTATAGTCTCCTTCATCATAAATATATTTGTCACAACTGTGTTTGCTAAGGGATTTTATGGTTCTGAACTTGCAAATAGCATTGGTCTTGTAAATGCAGGACAGTATCTACAGGAAACATATGGGGGTGGACTATTTCCAATTTTATATATATGGGGTATTGGGCTATTAGCTGCAGGTCAAAGTAGCACTATCACCGGTACTTATGCTGGACAATTCATCATGGGAGGTTTTCTAAATTTAAAGTTAAAGAAGTGGATTAGGGCGTTGATTACCCGAAGTTGTGCAATAATTCCAACCATTATAGTTGCTCTTATATTTGATACCTCCGAGGATTCATTAGATGTTCTAAATGAGTGGCTTAATGTTCTTCAGTCAGTCCAAATCCCCTTTGCCCTTATTCCCTTGCTTTGTCTGGTGTCAAAGGAGCAGATAATGGGCACTTTCAGAATTGGCGCTGTCCTCAAGGTATACTGTCATTCAATCTGCACTTTAATCTCCCTGGTCCCTTATCTTATGCCATTATTAGTTTATGTATTTGGTAAAGGACTTTGTGATGCCGACTTAATTCATTTTGTATAATTGATGTCTGTATATGCCTATATCATGGTATCAAACTTCAAATTTGATTAAGGATATAATTTAGAAGTTGCCCAATATAGACCTTTTCTTCTTGCAGTTGAAGATAATTTAGAACTTATCAATTAATCCCATATCTCCTGTGAAATTTAAAGTTAGATTCTAAAGAGAAAAGTTAGGGAGCTTGATTATACTCTCCTGTCTTGAGAGTTGAAAGGTGTGAAGTGGACTACTATCATTACTTCTTTTTCTTTTATGATCCTAGGTATTTTTGGCTGTTGTTTATCTTGCAAATAATTATCCCCATGTCATTATAAGTACTTTACTGTCTACGGAATTTTTTGTATGCTTTTTTGTTATTTATCATTTTGATCATGATGTGTTCAATATTAATATGATATGCAGTATATTGAATGTTCCTTCTGTTGGAAACTGCATATTATGCCAGCATTGACATCAATTTACTGTTTAAATATTTAGGATGCATTGATCTTTCCTTAGTTCCTCTTATCTTGAGGGTATTGTTCCACTTTTATCCTTATTTACTTCATGTTTGTGTCTTCAAATGACTTAATTTCTCATATTATACATGGAACCCGCATCTTTGAAATAGTCTATCGTCCACTTGCCCACATGGTTTGCTTCATATATATGCAGACATAATAATTGTTGATGTACAACTTGGTGTTAGAAAACTAATAGATTTTGGGGATATAATAGAAAAATAGGGGATTCAGGGATTGTGCCACTTTTATTCATTATGCTGTAGTCTGTGACTCTGCAGTGTATTTGCTGTTATTTAATTACTTTGGATATTCTTTAAATTTGAACTCTAACATGCAATATCTCAACTTTCAAGGTAATTTATGAAAGAGCCCCACCTGAATTCTCTTCCTGCAACAATTTTCAGAAAGAGATGCATTTTTTATACTGATATTTTTATTAATGTAAGAAAGCAACTTCTGTCAGTATTGTCTCACCTGGGAAGGTAGTACATTATATCGGACAAAATTGTCTGTGCAGTCTTGAGCCATTAGTTTTGGAGCTTCCTGCCTTGTTTCTTTTCTTTCTTTTCTCTTTTTGGATCTGGCGGATTGATGCCGTGTGTTCTCTTTTCTCCGTTGTATAGGTTGCTCTGTGTATTTTGATGTTTAGCGGTTTTTCTCCACAACTTCTGTGGACCTTGGTTGCATTTTGTTTCTGTACTAACCCTTCTTCCCATATTCTGCTCGTAGTTTGTTCTGATTAAGTACTGAATGAGTTCTGATATGGATTTACAGACTGTTTCATGGCTTGTGGCTGCTCTGGTGATAGTGATTAATGGCTACCTTTTGATGGAATTCTTTTCCTCTGAAGTGAATGGACCAATGTTTGGCGCTGTAGTGGGTGCAATAACTGCTGCATATGTTGCATTCGTAATATACCTGATTGGGCAGGCCATCACCTTTTTACCTTGGCAATGCGTAACACAACAAAAGACTATTGCTCACCCAGAGAGTTGAGCAATCAATCTTTAAAATTACAGTTTAAAAGCACTCTAAAGAACTTTTCTATTAGAAATAAAGAGTATTTTTGGTAGGGAAGTTCTTAAAAGTCTTTATAGACTAGTATCCAACCATGTATGTTTGAAGTGTCACGCTTTTTCAAGTATGCTCATGCTTGTTACTCGTATGACAAGTTGATGCAATGGACGGTGGCACCTAATTGTTTGCCTGTAATTATACTGTATCAGAGTAGATTTTAGCATTGTATTTCTTTCATATTTTGTTGTCTAAAATGCCTTGGAAACACACTGGTTATTAGTGAGACATCTTCGAAGCTGTAGTGTTCTAACAAGGAATGTAGCTCTTCTTTTTCCCTTCTTTCTTGCTCCCTCGATCTTGTTCATGTTCTTGTGGGTGGTAGCTGTGATCGAAAGCTACTTACCGTTTCTTTATGCAATAATATCTCTATGTAAATACTCAAGGTTAAAGAATGAACAATATTTGACAATATTAATAGAGGTTTTTTTTTTTTTTTTTTTAGTGTTGATAGGAGTATTTATCGATTTTATCGGAAATTAGTCTCTTTTAAGATCTTAATTACATTAAAATTATCTCTTCTAACATAATTTTTTATTAAATTTAAGATTTAAACTTGAGACTTTTAAATTTGAAAATTAATTATAATATCATTTACTATAAATTAACTTTTTTAACAACTTTTTTTTTTAAATGAGTGTACAAACAATGTTTAAAAAATCTAAGTGATTTGATTACACTTCAAAGCGTTCAAAGAATTTGCAATGTTTAAAATTAAAATTAGATAATGTACCAAAAATGGAAAGAGATTTTTTTATGAGCCACAATTATAATGATAATATTCTAACTTAACATATTTTACATCATATTATTTCAACCCCTCAACTACTAGCCGGCAAAAATGCAATGAGATTACATTTCTGTGGTTAATTCTTTTCGGTAATGATTTGCCTTGAGAGTTAAGTAGTGTTGTTTGTAAATTGTAATAAACTCATGACTTAAGGTCTATTCAGAAACTAAGGACAGAATGTCAATTTCAATTATGCCATACTTCAACTGCTAGGTTTTGTTTTGTTTGCCATCTTTGCAAAAAAAAGTCTTTTTGGTATAACACAAAATCTGCAAGTCCTTTTCACTGGTCAGTCCCCAGTGTTACTGAGATATCTATATGACGAAACATGTTCCTCCCCAAAATGAATTTTCTGTTTAACCATCGGAAGCTGTACACGTTGAATTATGCTACATAAACACGAAACAGATATACACCGTTATCTAATATTTTATTTCTCCCATTTTTTCTCCTTTCACAATCTAATAAAGTGCTCTTACAATGCTCTTTGTCCCAATTTAGGGTTTAGGGAGTGGTTTTTAACTTTTCTATCAATAAGAATTATAATAATAATGAGTTCAAACTTAAAACTTTTCACATATTATCTTAACTTCCATTACAATGTGAAAATTATGATTTGTTTTAGTAGAAGTTTGATTTCACATTCATGATTTATATTTAGATAAAAATTACATCAAAATTGATGAAAAACAACTAAATTTAATTGATGTGGATGTTGCTTCTAATGATTCACATCCAACAAAAATTGATATGAACCCTAACGTATTCTTAATTGTTAATATACTTTCTATTAACCTTTTAATATATTATTGATTTAATTAATTTTCTAAAATTATAAGTATTTTTGTATGAAATTTGATTTACATGTTTATTAAATAAAATTTAATTTTTATGATGGCCCCTCTACTCAATATTTTTGTTCTTTCCTTATAATTATCAAAGATAAAATGAGTAAAAATATTATTATTAGTATAGATTATTTTTATATATAATATAGATTTGTTATTAGCATGGATTAATAACAACTATAAATTCATATCATATAATTATATATGAATAGTTAAGATTAAAAAATTAATTAGTAATCATATAATTACTCAAAAAAGTTATGTATATATTTTTTTAATTTTAATCATTCAAATATTATTTAATATTCTATATTTATAATTTTTACTTCTCATAAATCATAAGTAAAGTTTTCATTTAATATGAATGAATAAAATTAAAAGATAAATCAACAAAAATATTATCAATGCTATTTTAGAGTAGAAGTAATACAAGTTCTGAAAACTCTTAGAATGTCACTATGCTTTTAAAAACTTTATAAATTAAGTTATATGTTTCTTTTATTTAAGATAAAACAAATAAGTCAACAAACAATGTTAATTGTATTTATTCGATATATATTTCTTCAAGATTCAAATATAAATATAAAACTCATGAATTATGGACTTAAATATAACGTTCTATTTAATAATATTATTTATAAAATACTATTTATTTAATTGAGATTCTATTTTTAATTTCACTTTTTTATTCTTGATTACAAACATTAAAATCAGTAAAAATTTATAGGTTAACTATACTCACCATGTCACATGTTTAAATTAGGTAGGATAAGAAAAATTTGATTCATTTCAACTATAAAGAAAAATTGGCCTAATCCACGTACAACTTGACTCCCTACATATTAACCCATAGTGAGTTGAATTGGTCCATGGGTTAATTTATTTAGTTTACTTTTTTTTTAAGTGTTAGTTTATGTCATTATACAATTATATCATTGATTAAGTTCTAGACATATTAATTGCAAACTATGAAAATAAATGATATCAAGATAATATTATTTGTTAATATTTTATGTCACTATTTTAATCGTATTTGATATTATAAGTTGATTAAATTAGTTATAATTTTTTTTATGAAGAAAGTTAGTTGTAATTGAAACTTACTTTCTTTGACAAATTTTTTTTATCCTATTGTTAACATATTTACAATTATAGGATATAAGATTATGAGAAGTGTTTTTGTTAATAAGTTAAATAGTTTTTTTTAATTGTAAGTGAATTAATCTATTTAACTCATTAACTCGTAATGGGTTAAATTAAGGAGGGTATATTGGTTTAGGATTTTGTAAGATTTTAAAAGATTTTTTTTAGTAAAAAAGTCCATTGGTATTCAACCAGGATTTTATGTCACTTGAAAACAATCCAGTGGTATTCAATATGGATTTTCAAGATTTTTTAAAGAGTCAATTAAAATCCATTGGTATTCATTTGCTATTTTTTACAACTTAAAAACAATCCATTGATATTCAAAAATATAAGGATTTTAAAGGATTGTTGTGTGAGAGAGATTTTGAAGGACTTTCTAGTGTTATCTATAAATACCAAATTCATAAAACAATCTCATCCAAACCATCGAATTTTGAAGGATTGTTTGAAGTGACTTTTCAAGAATTTTCAAATGAGTTTTTCATCTTTTTTTTCCTATGCTCTTGTCTTCTCTATTTTTTCTCTGCTAATAAAACTACATTATTGTTCATTGCTCATATATAATATTGTAGTATTGTTCTCATCTCATTCCCCCTATTTTGTGAAACTCTGATATATAAATAGTAGTGTTATTGACTTGTTCTATTTTTCTGTTTGTTCTTTTTAATTGACTTGCTTTATTTTATTCTAAGTAGTTGAATTTGTTCTTTTATATAACACAAAAAAATGCTTGAAATTTCAAATTTTAAGTAGTAATTTTTTTATAACACACGTCAAGAAAAGAAAAAGGTGAAAGATGAAAATGGATCTTAGTTGGGGGAAGAACCCTCTCAGCATAAAAACTGCGATCTCTCTCCTTTCCTTAAGTTTGTTACTCTTATCCCTCCTTCTTTTATGACTTAACAATTATTTTATTTTTTTACTATGAATTTTTATTTTTATTTTTATATTGTAAAATTAGGACTTTTTTATATTTTAAAAAAATAAAATTAACATAAGACATTGCAGTATCTAATTTTTTAGGGTTTAGGATTTATGCCTTCATTAGCTTATTTTTTAAAAGAGGAAATATTGTTAAAATATTTGTTAGAATAATTTACACTTATAAATATCGTTAAAAATTATCATTTAATATATAACTAAAATAATCTATATATATATATATATATTCTCTATATCTAAATGCTTATTCTTTAAATAATTATAATAATAATTATTATTATACTAATATTATATATATTACATATATAATTAGGTAAATATTTTTTTGTGGATTGTGGATTTCCTAATCGACGCCAATTTTAGCTCCATTTCGATGTGTACAACATCTACAATATTTTGCAGGTCAGGATAATGACCCTGAAAATGAGAAAGAATTATTCAATCTTCGTTATACATCTTTAAGAAATGTGATCGAAAAAATATTTGGTATTTTTAAATCAAGGTTCACAATTTTTAAGTCAGCACCTCCATTTTTATTTAAGACACAAGTAGAACTTGTGTTAGTATGTGCAGCACTACATAACTTTCTACGTAAAGAATGTCGTTCTGATGAATTTTCAATTGAAGTGGTGGATGAACCTTCATCTTCAACGTTACCAGTTAATGAAGATCATACTTTTGAACCTATTATTCAAACCCAAGAGCAAGAGCGAAAAGACGTTAATGCTTGGAGGACTAGTATTAGCTATGAATATGTGGGTGAATGTTATTTAAGAAGATAAGATATTATGAAGAATTATTATTATTATTATTTATCTAGACATTATTATTTTTTATTATTTTAGTCTTTGACTCTTTTTAAATTTGAATGTATGAAATTTTTTTTGAAATCTTATCAAATGTCAAAAATTCACGAAAATTCTACAAAATCCACAAAATCTCATAAAATCCATTAAAATCCTGATTTAAAAGCCTTGCAGAATCCATTAAAATCCTGATTTTAAGTATTGTAGAATCCTGCAAAATCTTAAAAGTCATGAAAATCCTGCAAAGTCTTTTAAAATCCGCAGGATTTTTTTAAACTAAAAAAGTCCTTTAAAATCTTAATCCAATACTGTAACGACCCGGCTGGTCACTACACACGACACATCACACTAGAAACACCGCACAGAAAAGAACAACTGTATATATATAGAGTCTAGAATATACATATACATGATCCAATCTGAAACAGAGTTAAAGTGTACCAAAAAGGAATACAATCATATACTACTGTCCCAAGTAGCTCAACAACAAAAAGAATCATAAAAGAGATCAGCTCCACCGGTCTGCTGGAGACTCACCACAAGACTCCCACCTATCCCTGCTCTGCTCCCATACATAGTATGATCATTGCAGTCCAAACATCATGGAAACAACAAAGGGTAAGCTAGTGTAATTAAAAATCAACATACAAATATATATCAATATGATAAACAACCGCTACAGCTATCAGCACACCTGTACAACTTATACCACTCACAACACATAACAATATCAACACCGCAATGCGGCCA